GCCTCGACGAAACCTTGAAATCCCTCATCGCCGGAACAACCTCTTCACTCCGATCTCAGCTCCTCTCTGTCCCTTACGGCCCGATCGATGAGATCGTAAGGAAAGAGTATGAGAAAGAGAAGCATGGAGATGGAGGTGTATACATATACTTGATCTCTCTTGGCCCTCAGTCAAAACCTTACGCTTATAGCTACTCCCATGGCGATTCCTCTGCTGGGTTCACGAAATGCTTGGGAAGTATTTGGACTGGGAAGGAACGTTATCTCTGGATTGATCTCTCTGCCGGACCTGTGGATTATGGTCCTGCTTTATCCGGTGATGGGGTTTTGCCAAGAGGTGAGTTTCACCCACTTGCAGCCTTCCATGGCCGTCCCAAGTCAGAAAAAGCGTTGCTTGCGGATTTGGCTTCGTTGGTGTATAATGCGTATCAGGTACTGATTGTTCCTTCTCTGAGAATCCCTGTCTACTTTGAGGATTCGTTGGTAGTTCAGTTTATTCATATATACGGATCGCAGCATAAGGACCCGAATGGGTTAGACTGGGAATTTGTCAAGAGAACGTTCATGGAAGAAGCTAATAATGGTGGTGGGTTGTTGTTAGGAGAACAGAAATTGATATTCAAAAGTTTTAGTGTGAACTACAGAGAATGCCCGATCTGTTCGTTTGCGGTATCTCGTGGCATGAACTCATACACGTCTAGGTTCTTGTTTGATAACTACACCTTGATTGTGAGTGAGTATTTGGATTCCAAGCATATGCATAGGACATTGACAGAATCAGGAGAAGAGTTGAGAAGAGTTGCAGGGATCCATGAAGAAGATGAGTTTGCTAGAGTTTTACCTGTTTATGTGTTTGATCTGGATATCAATACGCCTTTGTTGCTCGATAGGTATCACCAGTCTGTTGCTTTCAGAGACATGGTCATTGCTGTTAGAACAAGAGGAACACAAACCGTGAGTGATTATACCTGCAATGGGCGTCATGTGTTTGTTCATACAAGAGACTTAGAACGACCTCTTGTCGGTTCCATTCTCCAGAGCATGTGGGGTGTATCTTCGACTCATTTGACATGGAGCCCAAGACATAACTCGACTTTAGTGGACTACACATGGAGCGTTGGGCAGACACCATTTGGACCTTTCTCTGATACCTCATCTCTATCGTTTGTTCAGAAAGATGCTGCTAAGAGAAACATTCTTTTGACATCGTTGAACATAACTATCACAAGTGCAGTCGATATTATTGATTCAGCGGTTGCTTACGGAGGAGATGTGAACCTTCTAAAACAGAACCGGCATTCTGAGTTCATGCAAAGGTGGAATCTTTTGAAGTACAAACTGGAGAAATCGGTTTCTGCTCTATCGCACAATGATTTTGAGATGGCTTTGTTCTACCAGAGATCAGCTTCACATGACTTGTACTCGATGCATTCAGTGGTGTACCTCGCGTCACAAGAAGTGGAAGCAAGTCTCAACTGTTTCAAAGATCCTCCGTTCCCATGGGGATCTGTTTCAGTGTCTGGATTAGGGTTAATGGCTTTGGTTTACGTGTACTCGAAAAGAGAGAGACTCTTCAGGAGCAAAAGAAAACAGTTCTGAAGAATCCAGGCACGCAGGAGATTTATAGCCATTACATTCGACAAAGACTTGATATTTTGGTTTTTGGGTTAATACAACATGTACTATTAGCTTGTTTCCATTTGGTAATGTTGAACAAAAGAGAAAATTTCCGATCGTTTTTTGTTTATCTATTTATTGAAAAAACTAGACAAAAATAAGGAACATTACAGCAATGACCATGTCCCATAATTTTAAACTTTTTAGTTCTTCTAAATTAAAACATTATTTATCATCC